GGAAGGAAGGAAGGAAGGAAGGAAGGAAGGAAGGAAGGAAGGAAGGACTTGAAACTTCATATAATCTGTTGAAAGCAACTGTCCTTATTTGGTCACTTATCTATTGCACTTAACAATTTTACCATATCTGAATGCTTACCTGTGCAAATTCATTTAATAACTTTCTTAAATAAAATCTTAAGTAAATTTGTTAAGAAAAAAGTTTGTAATTATTGAAAATTGAAACTTTTCACTTCTGCATTTAAGTAAATATACCTATTAAAATGTATCCTAGTAAAATGGTCATGCATATTGCCTGTATGTTGGTAAATTGGCTCTTTGGGAAAAAAAGCTCTAATTTGTATTTTCTGATTTCTGTGGTTTGAGTACTTGGGTAATTTCAAGATGCCAGTGGACTAACGATCTGATATGCAAAATTCCTGAATATTTGATAGTTGGCTTTTGAAAGCCTGAATTAGTTAGATCCAGCATACCACCATATGTGTACCGTGTTTTAAATAACACCTTATTTGAAAATACGTGTTTAAAATTCAAATTAATTTTATTTCTTTCAGCTTTTGACATGGTTCATGATCCAATGGCAGCTCTAGAGACTCTCTTATCCTTGGGATTTGAACGAGTACTGACCAGTGGATGTGACAGTTCAGCATTAGAAGGGTTACCTCTAATAAAGCGACTCATAGATCAGGTACAGACAATTTCTTTTCTTTCTTCCTAAGACCATTGTGGTTACTTCTAACATTTTGTCAGGATGTGAAATTAAATATTACCGACCTTATGATTACTGTATAGGAAAAAGCAAACAGACAGTGATATATTTATGTAATTCGTATTTCTTTCACAAGTGGACTTAATAACCAAATTTCTTCAGATCAAATTGTAGACAGTGTCTATAGATCTGATTTAACTTGGATAACCGTAGCAAAGTTTATCTTTTCTGTACCATAAGCATTGTCTAGTTTTAAGCCACATCTTTTCATTGCCAGCCCATATATACCAGAGGATCCCATAAATTTATGAAATAATTATTATCTGTAGTAAATTCTAAAACTAAAATTATGTTCTTCTTTCACTTTTCTCCATCTATCAATATAGGAAGAAATATATTTTTCTCTTGTCCCAGTTTTCCTGATGAACTGTCATCATTTTTAGAGTAGTCAGATATGCCTTTGTAATTGAAGTATGTCTCTGTTTTTCTGACACCATTCCAGAGGCATTCTAAGTTAATGAGTGTAGACTTTGAGATGAGAGAATTCCATATTTGAGACTCAGGTTTGACGCTTGTTTGCTGCATGACGTTGAATAGATTACTAGCCTAAAATTCTCATTTCTTTATGTGTGAAATTGAAAAAAATTAATTTTTTTGTACCAGGGGTTGAACCCAGGGGTGCTTAACCACTGAACAACATGCCCAGCCCTTTTTATTTTTATTTTGAAATAAGGTCTTACTAGTTGCTTAGGGCCTCACTAAGTTGCTGAGGCTGGCTTTGAACTCATAATTCTCCTGCCTCAGCCTCCCAAGCCACTGGGATTACAGGCATGCACCACCATGCATGGTTAATTCTTTCTTTATAGGGTAACTGTTATGATAGAAAGATATATGTAATATCCTTAGCACAGTAAAGCATATAGTAAGTAATTCTTAGTACATGTTAGTTTCCATTATTATTACTAGTTTTATTAATAATATTATTTAGCATTTCTGTGTAGACATCTGATTATTTTTACTTATCTATAGCCATAAAAATAACTTTAAGAAATTTCATCTATGGATTTGGTGTGGTTCTGCTACTCTGGAACATACTGATTTTACAGATATTTATTAAGTATATATTAGATGCAGGTTATTTGTACTGTGGTGGTGACCACGAAGTGTGTGTGTGTGTGTGTGTGTGTGTGTGTGAGAGAGAGTGTGTGTGTGTGTTATAGTCACTGCTCTTACAATCTAGTGATCACAGATACTTTTTAATAGAGACCTATAACAAAAGGTGTTATGTGAGCACATTGGAGAAAATAAATTAACTCCAGATTTTTTGCAGCAGGGAGGTTGGCAGTGATTAGGGGAAACTTCCCAGAAGAAAAGGTATCCAAACTGCAATGTCTTACTCATTTTAAAGTAGGACATTTTAAAGTAGGTGGAGTGGAGGAATTGTTTCATGCAGGAAAAATTATATATGCAAAGTCCTGGAAACAAAAGCAAGCATAACTCAAGATGCTGAAGAGTGACCGAATCGTTGAAGATGAAGAGAAAAATGATATCCAGAGTTCTGAAAACCTTATTAAATTGTGTTTATATTTAATCCTTGGTGCATTGGGGAAGGGTGAAGCATTTTAAAATAGTTTTAAAAGGTTACTCACTAAGAATAGATAATAATATATAATTGTCATGATCCTGTATTACATTTCAAAGTGTGTGTGTGTGTGTGTGTGTGTGTGTGTGTGTGTGATGTTAATCATTGGTTGGTAGGGAGCTGGGTTAGATATTTCATATTACTAACTTTCCTTCTTGAAGTTACTACCTAGCAGTATAATATACTGGTTAAGCCATAGGATTTAAGATTACAATCCTGGTTTACAGGTTTACATCCTGGTTTTGTCACTTATTAACAATGATATGAGTCACATTAACTAACCATACTAAACATTTGTTTCCTCATCTGCAAAATCAGGATGTATTATAATAGCACCCATCTCCCAGAATAGTTATGAGGGATTGCTTCAGATAATAACATAATGTCTGACCCTTAGTAAGTATGTTACATTGTTAAATCATAGTGATAGCCTTAGGCATATAATCTTTTATGGAAGACAAAAAAAAGTGAGAGAATTTATGTCTTTAAAATATCATTTGTCATTATTTTGGAAAGTCTTCATTTGGAAAAACAGGTAAATGTGACTTTTTCCCTCTTCAAATTATTTTTGCTTTATAAAGAGTAAATGTTTTATGAATGATTTGCTTTTAGCACATTTGAGAGTATGAAACATCTTTTTTCCACTTGATTTTTTCTAACAGTTATTAAATTCTGTGTAATAGCCCCTTCTGTTTACTCTCTATTTTATTAGTTTGCTTTATTTTTCCCTTATTGTACTTACTGCTACCTGAAACTTTAGTACATAAATGTATTTATCTGTTTTTCGTCTTCCTTAAATGTGCAAGAGGAAAGTAGGAACTTTATTCCATGTCAGGAAGGCAAAAATTCTTGTACTCTTTTGTGTTTAGTTCCCAGGGGCTTGCAAATTAAACTGATTAAATACAGATTAGCAGGAGAAATAATGAATCTGGATTGCATACCTAAGTGTATATATTCTTATGTGTATGTGGAAGTTAACAAAGAAATATAACTCAAAGTGATGGTTAGAATTTGGAGGTTATATTATAAGCCATCTTAATAGGTGAAAAAGGAGGAAGAGAATGTTCTTATGGTGGAAAAAGTGACTATATGGCAGGATAAATAGGCCCTTAGGAGAAAAGATGGGAGATATGATTGTTTTATAATAATTTCGGTCCTATTTTCCAGAATGATCAGCAATTAAATTAATTCCTATAGTCTCAGTTAAATGGACCTAGAGAATTTAGTTGATACAGGATTTAAGTGGATTTTCCCCCAGTAACTTAAAATTATGTTATGTTTACTTTTCTAATAAAATCTTGTTTAAATTCAACTACTTTCATCCCATTGCATAAGGTATTTTTTTTTTTTTCAGTAAGGCTTTTCTTCAGGTGGTGTATTTTTCAGTATTTGTTTTGGAACCTCTTATTCTTTGTGTTCATAATAGTATGAGTTTATAAAGTAATACAATAAAATAATCTTTCTTGATAGAACTTATTATGCTGGACATCTTACTTTTCCAAGATTCTTCCCCCAAGAGAAGATCTTTTGACAATTAAACATTAATAGTTATTTTTAAAAATAATATACTTGACAGCTTAAACCCAAAGGACTTAAAATCAGCATACAGCAGTGATGCTGCCACATCAATGTTTATAGCAACTCAGTTCACAATAACAAAGTATGGCACCAACCTGGGTGCCCTTCAACAGATGAATGGATAGAAAAAAAAAAAGTGGTATATATACACAATGAAATATTACTCAGACATGAAGAAGAATAAAATTATGGCATTTGCCTGTAAATGGATGGAACTAGAAAATATGCTAGGTGAAATAAGCCAGTCCCCAAAAAACCAAAGATTGAATATTCTCTCTGATATGTGAATGCTAACCCATAACAAGGGAGGGTTGGGAGGGAAGTATAGAAGTTCATTGGATTAGACAAAGGGGAATGAAGGGAAGGGAGGGGGGATGGGAATAGGAAAGATAGTAGAATGAGTTGGACATAACTTTCCTATGCTCATATATGAATATACTACCAGTATGAATATACTTCATACCATGTTCAACCACAAGAATGGGATCAAATTGTAATGGGTTGTATCTCATGTATGTATAGTATGTCAAAGTACACTCAACTGTCATGTATATCTAAAAACAACAAATAAAAAATAAAAATAAATAAAATTCCCCCCCAAAAAAAATAATATACTTGACTCATCTTTCTCTTCTTACTGCCTTATTATCACAATTAAGAAAAAGATATAGCTGGGCATGGTGGCACACAACTGTGATCCCAGTGGCTCGAGAGGCTGAGGCACAGGAGGATCACGAATTCAAAGCCAGCTTCAGAAACAGGGAGGCACAAAGCAACTGAGAGTGAGACCCTGTCTCTAAATAAAATACAAAATAGGGCTGGGAATGTGGCGTAGTGGTTGAGTGCCCCTGAGTTCAATTCCCAGTACCCCCTCCAAAAAAAGAGAAAGATATTACAATTTACTTATCTATTTTTTTCTTTTTTTCAGGCAAAAGGCAGGATTGTGGTAATGCCAGGTATTTATTTATGTCTTTGTCTACTAGCCTAACACCAAACTATAGTGGAGGAAGAGCAAAAAGGGCACGAAAATCTGAAAGTATGTTCAGAGAGAAGAATAAATAGTTTGATTAAAATGTTCAAGATTAGGAGATATGTGCTGGAATAAAACTTTAGGAGAAGGAGAACATTCTAATAGGGATGACCTCATTGAGGAGCAAATAAGGAAATAGATTAGGACTGGTTTCTCCCATGTTTGCTTCTCTATAGTATATAGAATTTTATGAATGTGTATGTTCATCCCTGGTGAGGTATACCAAGTTGGACTAATACTACTTCCTCAATTCCTGAAAAGTCTCTGATCATCAAAATATTTTGTTTTAAACAAAATAATTGGAGCATCTGCTCCTGATGATAACCATAAAATCAATTAAGTGCATAATGACTCATTAGAAATGAACAGATGAGGCAGTTTTGAAAGAATTAGAATAAGCAACCCAAAATCAGCATGAAACAAATATAAAGGCTCTTTAATTTTTTCTTTTATTATTTTCTCAAAATAAAAACAACAGAAAATAACATAATAAATAGTCACAGTCATTTCCTAGATTTTACTATTCTGCCACATTTGTCTCATCTTTTTTTTTTAATCCTGAACTAATCCCAACACCACCACCACTACCCTTAGTGCAGGAGCTCAAACCCAGGGCCTGCCTTATTCTGGGCAAGAGTGCTACCACTGAACCATACCTCCTGTCCGCTGAGATATTTTAAAGACATCATGACATTTTTTTATTTATGCGTCTCTATAAAAGACCCATTTACTATAACCACAATTTCATTATTACATAATACATCTATGAAAATGAACACTAATTCTTTAACAACATTTAATACCCAGTCCATACTTGCCTTTCTCCAGTTTTCCCCAAAATGGTTTTTATAACTGATATGTGCAACCCGGATCTGGTCAAGGAACAAGCATTACATTTGGTTGTTTTCTATAGTATCTTTTAATATAGAAGTTTTTCCTTTTCTTCTTATTTAAAAATATGACTTTGTTGGGGGCAGGATACTGGAATTGAACTCAGGGGGACTCAACCACTGAGCCACATCCCCAGCCCTATTTTTTTGTATTTTATTTAGAGACAGGGTCTCACAGAGTTGCTTAGTATCTTGTCATTGCTGAGGCTAGCTTTAAACTCCTAATCATCCTGTCTCAGTGTTCCAAGCCACTGGGATTACAGGCATGCACTTCCAGGCCCAGCTTAAAAAAATGACTTTTAAAAAGTGGATACTTACCCTGTAGAGTGTTCTACTTCTGTATTTATTGAATTGTTTATTTTTGATACTGTAAACAATATCAAAGCTAAAGCTTGCTCTTGTAGCTTCTAAATTCCCTATAAACTGGTAGTTAAATCATAAGACTTGATTAGATTCTGGTTAAATATTTGGGTAAGAATAATGGGTGATTCAGTGTACTTCACAGTTGATCACATCAGAAAGCATTCAGTCTCTAGACTCTCACTAGCAGTAATGCCAAGACTAACCAGGGTTATCACCATAACCAGATAAAGGGCAAGTTTTAAAATAGGCCAGATAAAGACATTAACAGTTAGTAGGAAGTTTTTCACTTGCAGTAAGTCCCTGAAACAAGCAGATAGAAAGCATACATGATCTGTCAGATTGAGACCCTTTATAGACTAATCAGGGAATGTTAAAGAAACTTACTGAGTCTGTCTGATGCTTTTCTGTTTAAGGCTAAATGTATTTAGCCTTGACAACTAATAACCAGATTTAGACAATTCTTTACACAAGTGCTTGATGAATATGTAATTATTAAGTTATCTGCTTTGTGCAAGGAATTATGTGGGATATAGAGTTAAATGAGCAACTATTTATTCTAGAAATTGATAGTCTTAGGTACAGAAATATTTGTGATTAGATTAACAAACCTTACTAAGGAAGTATTAATTATGTCAGTTATAATTATACATGTATTATTAGATGTGAAAATAGAATGAATATGAAGTAATCCTTCTATTTGGGGAGCCCACAGAATTTCATGTAAATAAGTACCAGCATGTAAAAAATTCTTAGATAAATCAATCCGAAAGCCTAATGAGTTTTCATCCTTGGGAAATATAAAGATAAGTAAGACATATATAATGAAACTTACAACATATTTAGGGTCTGGTTTTCTCATTTATAAGGAAGAGAATATTGAACTAATTATTCTTTGAGGTCTCTTTTAACTGTAAAGCTCTGTTAGCCTATGTGTTGGAGAATGTATTGAGGGTTGTGTTTCAGTTTTATTTGTTAGAGGGAAATAATTTGTCTTTTAATCCTTACAAGCACATGAGGTAGGCAGTATTATCCTTCCTTGTGATTTTTTTTTTTTTTTTGGTGGTACTGGGGATCGAACCCAGGGCCTTGTGCTTTTGAGGCAAGCACTTTACCAACTGAGCTATATTCCCAGCCCTGTATTATCCTTTTTTGTTGGTGAAAAAGTTGAGGCTAAGTGGATTTAAATAATTTATTTAAGGTCACCCAACTCCAAATAGCTACAGAAGTGAAGCCAGTATTCCTTTACAACTGACTTCTTAGTCTGTGTTCTTGCTAATTCCTAGGGTTCAGCAATATGAATAGACCACTAACCAAAAACAAACAAAAAACAAAAAAGCCGAGTTAACAAGTTTGAAAGAGTATATAAATATAAAAACAGATTATTTCAGCAACTTGAATAGCTTGAGGTACAAAGTACAAGTTTTAATGTCATTTTGAAATGTTTATTGAATACATTCGCTATATCAGAAGACATGAATATAAAGATGAATAAGCTAACTTCATATTTGCAATTATTGGTACCAATTCAGAATATGACTTTTATAAATAAATATTTTAAAGATTGTTTATCAAAACATGTAATCATAATAAAATGGAGTCAGATTCTTCTGTGAAATGAAACAGAAAGTTAATATTGTGATGAATAAACTGTGTAAAACTTTGCCTTATTGACATTTCCCATGAAGTCACAGTATACGCTTTCAGTCTTGGCCAGAGAGAAAATCTTATGGGTTCTCTCTTTAGACGCATCTCTCCGGTTTTGCTTTTGTATCTTTTTTCTCAAAGCTATCCTTACCTTTCATTTTAATTTGATTTTGTTTGAGGGAAGAGCAGGGCTGGAATGAATTATTTTTTCCTTGACCCAAAGTAGTCTTTTTAAACTTAATATCAATAATGTCTAGCTTTTTCATATAAACCAACCGATATATGTAATTTCATCACATAGGCTCTAACCCTAACAATTCTCCAGAGTCTAGTATACATCTTTCATTACTTTTTAATTTCATTCTAGCTTAGGGAGAGAGTAATTCTTGAATCAATGAGAAATTTCAGAATGGGATTTTCAAATAGAATAAGCAGTCATTGTTATTCTTTAAATTTTATGCAAGATTCTGTTCTCTTAATCTATTACTTGTTCTTTTCAATAGGTGGTGGAATAACAGACAGAAATCTACAAAGGATCCTTGAGGGTTCTGGTGCTACAGAATTCCACTGTTCTGCTCGGACTTCCAGAGACTCAGGAATGAGGTTTCGGTAAAAATGTTCTTGGACTCATACAAGAAGGGTTGAGATTAATCTTTACTTCCCAAATAGAAAAACGTTTGTTGATGCCATGATCAATGAATGAATGTTATGTTGTGATTAATACATAAGTACTGTCATCATTTTTCAGTTTAAAAAATTTATAAAATGGTTCTTGTTCTGTCTTAAATGAGCAGGATCTTTTGAACATATTAAACCTTTTTATAGTCTTTGGTAGTCTTGCCAGCCATTGCCATTTAGTCATTCTTCCCTCACCTTTGCTCTCTTCTTTCATTTATTTTGAAATTATATTACCATTAAGAAATTGAAGCTATTATGTGATTTTTTTAAATATATAGGATTCCTATAACTTACTAGGGGAATCTTTCTATTTATAATTTGGGAAAATGCATGTAAAAGAAGGAAGAAGCTTAAAACTTACATTTCCAGATATAAAATCAAGTATACTGTTTTTTAGATTCAGCTACTAGGTGTTTCAAGTAATTAATTAATGAAAATTATTATTATGGAATATGGTAGTTCAGAGTCCTTACCTTCCCCTGTTTCTGAATCATGAAATAACCAAAAAGTGAAGTGCCAGTTGGAGTACTGACTGAACAACTTATCTGTTCCATTATTATTTCTATTGCAGAAATTCCTCTGTTGCCATGGGAGCCTCACTTTCTAATTCAGAATATTCTCTAAAGGTAACAGATGTGACCAAAGTAAGGACTTTGAATGCTATTGCAAAGAATATCCTAGTTTAGCCAGACCTCTCCATGAGACATGGATATTGCAGTATGAAGAAAGAAGAATAATCTACGATTCTCTGAGACAAAGTTTTAACCTTCTTTGGCTAGGACAGTTAGTCAAGTTTCACATGGCCATGAAGTATGTTTCCAAGAAGAAAAAGAAATTGAAACAGATACAGTCACTTCCTTTGCTTAGTCTTTCCAGCCTTTTCCATCATTATGATTAAATCTGTTCTGTACTACATTTACAGAGAGGCTTAGTCTATCCTCAATGGAACTAGTTGATGAACTGAGAAAATTCATCTGCAAGATATGAATTCAGCGTGGCTTCAGGGTTAATTCGATAGTTGTAGTATTTTGCCTTTTCATTTATAAAATTAAAAAATTTCTTTCTATTATGATATCAGTCTCTTATTCTTAAATTGAATACAATCTGTACCAAATGTGAAAGGGAAGATAGTGTTTCATTTTACTTTTTCTGTCATTCTCTCTTTTTATTTTGTGCTCACTGGAGATGTTGCCTTGGAGCAAGAAGATAAGGGTGCAAAGTGAAATGGACAGTATAAAAATTCCAAACTTGGGAAATAGGTATAAAAGATACTGGGCTCAGTATTATATATACATACAAATATATAGTTGGACTTCATTGTGTGATTCCCCAGAGACAAAAGCAGGCCTTGTCATCTTTATTTTATTTATACAAATTAGTGAAGGTGATGTGAGTTGCTCAAGTTTAACAATTAATTAATGTTCCTTGTGAGGCATGAACATTAGGCTCCTAACTTTCCAAGATTTCAGCTTTAAGCTGCTTCTGGTATGTGAATATGGTACAAAGAGCAATACTTCTAGGCAATATTCCTGGGATCGTATCCTAGCTCCTAGTTTAACAATGAGAAAGTTACTTAATTTTTTAACTTTGCCTCACTTTAAAATTTAGGATTAATAATTAAAACATGTTTTCTCATTAAATGACATGCTAAAGTTTGAGGCACATAGAAAGTACTTGTTAAATATTATTTTTCTCCTAAAGTAGCTTTCTAGGAATAGACTTTGAGAGCTTAAAACCAGTTACCCAGTATTGAAACCAGCACTAACTTTGTGCCCTTAACTATGAATATAAAACAAGAAGCAGAATAAGGTAATCTCTATCTATATTTTTCATTTCTTTCTTTTTTTTCCCCCAATACTGGGGAATAAGCCAAGGGATGCTTTACCACCCCAGTCCTTTTTATTTTTTATTTAGGGTCTCACTAAGTTGCTGAAGTTGGCCTTAAATTCGAGATCCTCCTACTTCAACCTCTGAAGTTGCTAGAATTACAGGTATGCGCTATCACGCATGATTTTTCTATAATTTATTTGTGTTTTAAAATATTTACTGGTGATTTCATATGTGTAAGTTTCTTCTCAACAATATTATTACTCTTTTGAAGATAGAGGCCAAAATACCAAAAGTCTTCTTACTTTTTTGTATCCCCTATCACGCCTACCACATTGTGTATTCATAGTGACATTTACTTTGCCTAGCGGAAAAAGTACTGAATTGGAACTCAAGATCTAGGTTTTAGTCCTGACTTTATCATTGACTTTAGTAACTGCTAGATTTCTTCTCTTTTCCCCTCTAAATACATCTCTACCTTTGTCTGTTCTGTATCCTAGAACAGATCATACCCATATGATCAGCATCCATGGCTCCTTTGACCTTCATATTTTTGTGGGGCTTGGTCAATAGAAAGTATCAGCAGGAGATGGGAAGGTGTTTCTCTGCCATATTGTTGTGAATTGGCTGCATCCCTTTTAAGGTCATAGATCCTATCAGTTGTTCCTCTTTAAACCCTTTCTGGGTTCTAATAACTAGACCCTCTCCCTGACCTCTTTGGGTTTATGGTTAGGAATAGCTCCAGGCTAGGCTAGGTGGCATACTACACTATTTATTCCTTGTTGGTTTTCTTAAACCATGCTCATTCCTTTGTATATAGTTCTTTATTAAAAGTCTTTTGAGATTTCCCTGTCAGGATCCTGACTAATTCAGTTTCTGCATTTGTAAATTCCTTTCAGCTTTAACACCATGTGTTTTAACCATTATACATTTTTAAAATAGAGACAAATTAGTAATAACAGTCACGTTTCATTTTTAACTTTTCTATATCCTTTATGCAATACCTCAAGAAAAGGCAGACAGTCCACTGTTGCTTTTCAATTTTTTATCTTCTCCATGAATGCAATACGCTATACATTCTAACAACAAAAAAATTCTATTAAATAATAGCTTAAGCTGGGCATGGTGGTACACTCTCAGCAGGTCTGGAGGCTGAGGCAGGGAGGATTGCAAGATCAAATTCAGGTTTAGCAATTTAGTGAGGGGCTAAGCAACTCAGCAAGACCACATTTCTAAATAAAATACAAAAAAGGGTTGGGGTATGGCTCAATGCCTCTGGGTTCAATCTCCAGTACCAAAAAGAAAAAAAAAAAAGTAATATCTTAAAATAGCTGTATCTTTGGGACATTTTTATCATTTCTGTAATTCTGTAGGTTATCTTAAATTCTATCCCCAAAGTAATAACATGATATCACTTTCTGGTGTGAATTCATTTTTCCCATCCCTTACACACTAGTATATCAAGTACTTTTTTTTGGTCACTATGCCAGTTCTTCCAACTTAGACATCTCAGACTCATGCCTCAACTAACCCCAACAGTTACTTCTTTCTGATATTGAGTCAGTCCAGCATTTTGTGTGTGTGTGTGGGTGGGTGGGGGTGAGTAGTGGGGATTAAACCCAGAAGTACTTGAAAAACTCTTAAGTTGCTAAGGCTGGTTCTCCTGCCTTAGCCTCCTAAGTCACTGGGATTACAGGTATGTGCCATTGCACCTGGCTGGTCCAGAATTTTTGACAAGTTTAGACAAAGAAGTTTTCATGTAGGATTTTATTGCCTGGTTGGAGCAAATATCAGATTTAATGATGAAATAGTAAACAGTTTTCTCCATAGACTAAAATTGAGACAAGGATGCCCAGTATCACCATTCTGTTCATTTTACTGGCAGTCTTAGCAAGTACAGTAAGGCAGAATGAAAAATTTAAGGATTGGAAAAGGAAGATAGACATCATGATTATATGAAGAAAATCTAAAAACTCTTTTAGAATTAATAAGTGACCAACAAGGTTGCTGGATACAAAGTCATTGTACAAAAATTGGGTTACATTATCTAGCAAAAAGTTAGAAAATGAAAATTTTATAATGATCTGTACAAATTAAAAACAAATTATACATTTTAAACATTCAGTTTATTGTATATTAACGATAACTCAATAAAGCTGTTTTTTTAAAAGCAAACCATGTATAACCACGTATATTGGCATCATTGTTCTATCAGATGCCTAGGAATAAAATGTAAGAGAAAGTTTAAAAATTTCTTTTTTTTCATTTTTTGTTATGAAGATTTTAATACATATCTAGATCCCACAGCTGTTAATTTGCCATATGTGCTTTCTCTCTCCACCTCCCCTGCCCCTGCATAATAAACTCAGCTTCTGCAGAACACAGTACTTTTTATCAGCATTAACATTTCAGAATAGTTAAACTGTAACACTATGGAACAATTAAATCCCTGAGTTGCATTTCATTCACTGTATTATATTTTAATCTAGGGTAGTATGTTTCCATGAGAACAGGGACCTAATATTTGTATCTTTCTAATAGTATTTCATACTAGTAAGTGCTTAAAATCTGTTAATGGTTTATTCGATAACAATACAATTTCTGATTTGATTCTCTTGGTGCCTGAGATTCCTCAATCCAGTCATCCCTCACTCAATCCATTGAATGCTGATTAAAGTATGCTGCATACTATTTTTCTCTACCATAGGAAAATTTATCAGAAAGAGACCTTGCTTTCCTCTTATATTCCTGAACTCCAGTTTTGGTGAGATATTAGATTTACTGGGGGACAGTTATTATTTTTTAGAAATTTTAAAATTTGGGGGGACTTTTGGGAAACATTAGGTGTTATGATAACTCAGAGAATGTAAAGATATTTGAAGCAAGATTTGTGCTTGCTTTAGGTATTAAGTGGCAGATGTTATAATTGCTTATTTGCAATCTGGAATACAAGGCTGGTTTAACATCCCCAAATCAAGCAATGTAATAAGTCATAGTAACAGACTAAAGGACAAAAACTGCATGGCTATCTTGATCACAGAAAAAGCATTTGATAAAATTCTTTTCATGGTAAAAATGCTCAAAAAAATTGGAAAAGGAAACTTCTTCAACCTGATGAAGGGCATCTACAAAAAACAACAAATTCTCCACCTATCATACTTAATATTCTCTCCCCCTAAATACTTTATCAAGAACAAAACAAGATGTCTGTTCTCATCACTTCTAGTTGACATTGTTCACTCAGGACAGTTAGGCAAGGGAAAGAAAAAGCATCCAGATTGGAAAGGAAAAAGTAAATGCTATTTGCAAATGACATGATTTTGTATACATAAAATTCTAAGGAATACACACATCATACACACTAAAACTAATATATCAACAAGTTTGCAGGATATAAGAACAATATACAAAAGCAGTTGTATTGCTGTACACTAGCAATGAACAATCCTAAAAGGCAATAATAAAAGAATTCAATTTATACAGCAAACAAAAATGATTTTTTAAAAATAAATGGAGGAGTTTTTCTGCTATCCAGACCCCTCCCACATGGTGGGAGTTCTATCTCTTCTCACTTAAATAAATCCTCCTCAGTTTGCTCTTCCTTTCTGATTATCTGTGAATTTTTTAAAAAATACTTTTTAGTTGTTAATAGACTTTTATTAGTTGTTAATAGACCTAATAAACCCAGTGTCTCACACATATCAGGCAAGGGCTCTACTACAATCCTACTACAATCCTAGCCCTTGTCCATGGATTTTATTCATAAAATTTGCAAGACAAGAATCAAGAAAGAAATTGGCAAAGTGGGTAATCTAGTCTTATCTCAAAACTCTGGTTTCATCTTGTTGGCCCATATGGGGATTGTTGGAAAGATCCTTCACGATGAGAGATTTTGGGATGCTTCTTGCTCTTCTGTGTAGTTGACAGTATGAATGGAAATGGATGACAGTGTCAAAATGTTTCTCCAGGATCTTGGCAGGGGAATCAAAGACTCCAAGTTGGGTATTTGTGCCGCAGTCTGGCTGGGCACAAATGCCGCAGTCTGGCTGGGCACACAATCAGGAGCCACCACACAGCTTGTAGATTCAAACAGCAACTCTTTATTCCCGAACTCACACCAGCCGTCTACAATCACGTTCTGGGGAAATCCAAGTTCTCTGCCCAAATCCACGTTCTCTGCCCAAATCCACCTCCACTGGGCTTCTATCTCCCAAAAATATACTGTCTGAATCCCGTGAGAACTCA